TCACCAGGCACCTGGTGCCTGCCAGCTCCAGGCCCTTAAAGTGGCAGGCACACACAGTGCCCTGCCACAGCTAGGGACAGAAGTTACACATAGATTGTTTTAAGTCATCAGAAATTGGTTTAAGCCTGTAACAGAACAGAAGTTCAGTGCATATAACTGTTTGTTCATCCTTCGCAAGCAAAGATGACCACATACAGTGGGGGTGGGGGGAATAAGAGAGAAGGGAAGCAGGAAAGAAAGAGGGAAGGAGAAAAGAGAAGGGAGAAAGAAAGGAAAAAGGAAAGAAGAGAGAGGAAGGTGGGGCGGGGCGTTGTGGCTAGGTCGCATGGGTACACAGGTAACTTATAAGTCCAATCTTTGCCCTGAACAATCTGTTGCAGAAGGAGCAGGGGAGCAACGAGGACTGGACATGAGAGGTCCTATTTGTCCTCACCATGCACTTCCTCACTGCCTCTGCTGTGCACCACTGCTCAAAGGCCAGTGCACCACTCTGGACCGATGACCTCCAAGATGGATGGTCATGAGCGATTTGTTCCCACGACTCCGGGTCGATGCCAAAACTCTTTAGGGACATCTTTAGGGTGTCCTTGTACCACTTCTTTGGTGCTCCACGAGAGCGTACTCCATTTGACAGTTTGCTGTAGAAGATTTTCTTTGGCAGGCAAGTGTCAGGCATTCTTGAAAGGTGGCTGTGCCAGTTTCAGTAGGTTGTGGATACTGGGGAGAACTGATCTTCTGAGCACCTCAGTGTCTGGAATCTTGTCCTGCCATTTGATCTTTAGTATCTTTCGCAGGCAGCACAGGTGGAAGTAGTTTATTTTTTTGGCATGACATTAGTAGATGGTCCAGGTTTCATAGGTATAAAGGAGGGTTGGGAGAATGATGGCTTTGTAGACCTTCAGTTTCATTGACATTCTGATGCCTCCATGGTCCCAGACTGACTTACAGAGTCTGCCAAAGGCCATGCTAGCTTTTGCTAGCTTCATGTTGACTTGGTTGTCGATGTGGACATCATGGCTGAAACTAGTTTAAGATAAACCTGGTTGAATGTAGTATCAGATTGAACTGATTTGGGTCAAACCAGTTTATGAAACTTCTGTCCCAGACCCTTTCCTGTTTCAAGTTAAATCACAATCCCCCAACATCCCAGCATGGGCTGTGCTGTCTGCTCTAGCAGAGACGGGTCTGGTGGTGGGGAGGCAGGGAAAACACCAGCTGGGGCCTGGGAGAGGGGTTTAACCCCCTGTCCCCCAAGTACAGAGCTGCCGTGCCCTGCTAAAAATTTACTGCTGGCTGTGACTGTGGACTACAAATCCCAGAGGCACCTGGAAGCAGGAAGAGGAAGTGATGGGCAACCCTGCAGAATCCTGCTTCTGTGATTCTGAACTGCAAATCCCAGAGACCTCAGGGGCAGCTGGAAGAGGAAGACAACACCCATGGTGGCTGTGTGCCAGAGAGCCATGCTCTAACTTCCCCTGGCTTCTGCCCTGAGCCAGTGAAGGCATGTGACTGCATTTCCTGAATCAAAAGTAAATGTGTGTCCAGTTGTTTCTCAGTTTAATCTCTGCAGCTTAAACTAACCCGCAAAGGCTGAATCAATTCAGCCATGGGCTTTTTGGCTGTCTGTACTTAACCATTTAACCATTATCAGTATTTGTGATATGGTACCACTGTTCCTTGAGTTTGCTATGACTAGCTGAGAATGTTGTCTCTGTGCTGTACTCTTTTAACTCTTCGTGGCTTCAGATAACCATTATTTTTTTATGTTTATAAAATTATTTATGTAACAAAACTTGTAATAACATTAAGAAGAAAATTTGCTACCCAGAATTTTTACATGCATTGTAAGTCTGAAATATTTGGAATTTTACATGCATATTGAGCACTTGCCTACACAAATGGCTCTATACGTTTATGGCAGTTAGTCACAGTAGTGCATGAAGTTGTCTAAGTTACATTCATAGTTGTTTCTTACCTGCAAATTAAGTGATTAATTCTACTTGTCCATTTAAAAAAAAAAATCTGGCCTCATTTTATTCAAAGGACTGAATTCCCATTGACAGTAATGATGTGAGGCAGATTTATTCCTTTATATGAATTCAGACTTCAGACAAGTAATACATACAGACTTTCTACAAAACATGTTATGCCCGCATATAATAGCATACTTTGATAATGAAGGTGTAACAGCAGAAGTTGTTGATGTGTGTTTATAAGAAACAGTACTTCACTACTCCTTTAAGGAATTTTTCCCACTATCAGACTCCACTAATACATTTTAATTGCATTTATTCTTTTTTGAAAAAGCTGATTTACATTCATTAGCAATATGTTCTTTTGCTTTTGTAGAATGTAGGACTATTTCTATGGGTCAGGGTCAGGAAGTTCATGCACGCAAGCTAACACAGATGTCAATGCAACAGGTAAGCAAAGAACATTAAAGTGTCAGTCAATACTCAGTTTTAGGTTTTTATGGGAGTTTAAATCCTTATACCTCACACTTTCTGCATGGTATTGATTTTAGGTTTTGTATTCTCATCTTGTGACCAGAAAGCTAAGCATGAAAAATTCTTTGAGTTATTGTGTCCATATAAATACCACTGTAGATCAGGGGTTTTCAACCTTTTTTAATAAGTGTACATCCAGTGACCCCCTTTTTAGTAAGTGTACCCCTGGGGTGGGGTGGGCGGTGAGCAGCCAAACATGGAGCAGGGGCATGGCAAGTGGCGGAGCAGCAGCAGTGCAGTGTCTGTGTGGCCCTGCTCTTGCCCCGCCCTGGTCCTTCTCCTGTTGAGGTAGTGGTGCGGGGTGGTGGCACTCCATTCCCACCTGTCCCCGTGTACCCCATGGGACCTTTCAAAGTATCCACGGGGGTATGCATACTCCCGGTTGACAACCCCTGCTATAGATCATATATGCATCCCAGTCAAGTCAGTTGTACATTTAGGGTGGAACATAGATTCATAGATGCTAGGGTCAGAAGGGACCTCAACAGATCATCGAGTCTGACCCCCCTGCCTAGGCAGGAAAGAGAGTCTGACCCCCCTGCCTAGGCAGGAGAGAGGGCTGGGGTCAGATCACCCCCACCAGATGTCTATCCAGCCTTCTCTTGAAGACTCCCAAGGTAGGGGAGAGCACCACCTGCCTTGGAAGCCCATTCCAAATTTTGCCCACCCTTGCCATGAAGAAGTTTTTCCTGATATCTAGCCTAAATCTGCTCTCTGTCAGTTTGTGACCATTGTTCCTTGTTACCCCAAGAGGTGCCCTGGTGAACAGAGCATCTCCGATCCCCTACTACGCCCCCCTAATGAATTTGTAGGCAGGCACAAGATCACATCTCAGCCTTCTCATGTGGAGCCTGAAGAGGCCCAGGTCCCTCAGTCTCTCCTCATAGGGCTGGTCCTGTAAGCCCCTAACCAGATGAGTGGCTCTCCTCTGGACCCTCTCGAGTCTATCAACATCCTTCTTAAGTATGGCACCCAAAACTGGACGCAGTACTCCAGCTGCAGTCTGACCAGTGCCGCGTAGAGGGGAAGTATCACCTCCTTGGATCTATTTGTCATGCATCTGCTGATGCATGATAAAGTGCAGTTAGCTTTGCTGATGACCTTTCTGAGGTCCTTTCTGCTTCCGTGCTGCTCCGAGGGTCACTTCCCAGCCAGTAAGTGTGCTGGATATTTTTGCACCGTAGGTGCAGCACTCTGCACTTGTCCCTGTTGTACTGCATCCTATTGTGTACTGCCCACTTTTCTAACCTGTCCATGTCTGCCTGCAATCATTCCCTACCCTCCAGAGTATGCACTTCACCCCACAATTTAGTATCATCCACAAACTTGGACAGAGTATGCTTCACACCCACATCCAAGTCACTGATGAAGATATTGAAGTGTATACGTCCAAGGACCAAACCCTGTGGGACCCCACTACCCACGTCTCTCCAGGTTGATACTGACCGGTCTACTACCACTCTCTGGGTGCAACTGCTAAGTCAATTTGCCACCCACTGGACCATATAAACATCTGTTACAGCCTCTTAATTTATTTATGAAAATGGGACGAGATAACACATTCCTATCAGTCCCTCATGAGCTTTTCTGAGGGATCTGGTGCCCTGATCCCTTATCAGCTCTCTCTCATCATCTGGGGTGAGAGTTGGCGATCCTTGGACCTCAGCTATGAGCTACCTATATTAGGGCAGGTTCATAACTATTAGAATTAAACTTCCATTTAAAATTGAATTTTGAATATGCACATTTGGATAAAACTAAATGCAAGTTATAGACAGAGTCTTCCTGTAACCAGCAACCTATGGTTCCTGTTTCTGCGTGAGAGAAAATGGAGGCACACTGCACTCAGGCAGCCAAGAGGCGAGCTAGCTATAGAATGATATGCAGCCAGAGCCCTTTAAATAAAAAGTGCCTGTTGCTGTGCTGGCACTGCTACTTTACTTACCATGGTAGCACAGCAGTAGTAGAACAAGGAGTTACCTGGGGAAACAGCAGCAAGAGTATTGCTGCAGTGCTAGCTCTGCTGCTATAGACTGTTGTGACGAAAGGCACTGCTTCATAGCTGGTCACTGTGCCGGCCTGCCACTTCATCTAGGGCAGTCTGTCCTGTCTCACCTGCCACAAATTCTTGAGATAAACCAGATGTTAAAAGCAGGCGGCTGCCCATTTTAATACCCTGATGCCAAAGGGTTTACACATGACTCTGACCTCCCATTATCAAGTTGCATGCCTCACTAAGTTGTTTATAGCACCGGTCTAGAGCTGGGCTAACTCTGCCTCCTGTTGTGCCTCTAGTACTCTCTCTCGCACACTGCCCCCTCTCACAGGGCCTCCCTCACTCCACCCCCTCTCACAGGGCCTCTTTCATACTGCCCCTCACTGGGCCACTCTTACCCCACCCTACTCTGTGACTCCATAACCTTCAGGCTTGACTACTCGCTCTCTGACCAGCCCACACGTAGCCCTTCAGATGCCACCGTGCACCCTACTTTACACGGCCACTGGCCTTACGCCCCACCCTGGGCTGACTCATCCACTAGCTCCTTTCTGAGTCATATACTTCAGCTTCCCACCACCCCTCACTGGGGCCTTGAGGTCTTGCACCCCCTGGGCTCAGGTGCCTCCCTCTAGGCATGCCTGGCCCTACTCTGCCTTCTCACTCAGGCCTCAGAGTCCTATACCTCCTGGACTCAGGTGCCTCTCTCTAGGTGTGCCTAGCCCCACAACCTCCAGGGTCTTGCACCCCCTGGCCTCAGATGCCTCTCAGTAGGTGTGCCTGGCCCCACTACCCTCCAGTCTTAGCCCACCAGACGGTGGGGGCTGGGGTTATCAGGTGCCCCTACCCACCTTTCACTGGGGAGGTAACTGGCCTGGCATTTCTGGGGAACTATCCCACCATGGACAGCCCCATCAGACCCCACTTCCTCAGCAGGGTGCAGTTTCCGGTCATGTCCAAGACCAGGAGCCTTCTGCCATCCCCATAGCTCCTGCCCTTACATCCAAGGTGTTCCTGAACAGTCACTCAGACAGGTGGTGCCTCTACAGTTGCCACCAGCAGACTGCTGCCTCAGCCCTGAGAGCCTAGCTCTAAAATGGAGGCTGATCTACTCCCTCCTCCAATCCCAGGGCTCTCCAGCAGTCATGTGACCACCTCATTATTCTGGCATGCACCTGCCAGCAGCCCTGATGTCTGCTGTGGCCCTTAAAGTGACAGACACCCAAAGGTACTGTGTCACAACTGTCCTGAGGGCTGGTAAGCCAAACCTATTAGAGCCAGGTAGTCACATGAGGGACATATAAGCCCAAGGCAGAGCCAGAGTAAACAGTCTGGCCCCAGCGGCTTAAGGGAGAGGAGCTCTCCCTTCAGCCTCCAGGAGAGCCACATGCATGATCAGAGGACAAGAGAATAGGCCCTATGAAGAGAGGCTGAGAGCTATGGGACTCTTCAGTCTGGAAAAGCGCAAGCTCAGAGGGGACCTGGTGGCTGCCTATAAGTACACAAGGGGTGTTCATCAGGATCTGGGAGAATGTCTGTTCACCAGAGCGCCCCAAGGAAAAACAAGGAGCAATGGTTATAAATTCCTCCAAGACTGTTTTAGGCTGGACATAAGAAAACATTTCTTTACTGTCCGAGCCACCAAGGCCTGGAATAGAGTAGGCACCTACTCTGGACTTATTCAAGAAATGCTTGGATGCTTATTCTGCTGGGGTCCTTTGACCCCAGCTGACTTCCTGCCCCTGGGGCAAGGGGCTAGACTTGATGATCTTCGAGGTCCCTTCCAGCCTCAGGGGCCTGAGAGCTCAGAGTTGCCCTAGAGAGTCAGAAACAAGGCTAGAGAATCCACGGCGTAGAAAGGTGAGAACAAGGGCCAGCGAGCCTGTAGCCATAGAGGGATGGAGTTTGGGGCCAAGGGGCCCACAGCTCAGAAAGGGTTGGAGATTTGGGGCCAGAAGGCCCATAAGCCTAAGAGGGGTGGCAACAGGGCTAGAGAGCACACAGCCTAGACAGGGATGGAGGCTGGGGCCAGAGGGCCCACAGCCCACGCAGGGCAGAGATAAGAGCCCAAGAGGGCAAGTTAAGGACTGGAATGCAAGGAGCCAGACCTGGTGTAGTGGATCTAGATCAAGGGGACCAAACAGAGCAATGGGGGCAGAAGCTGGGAAGGCTGAGGCCCCAACAAGGGAGTGGAGGCCAAAGGCAGCCTGGCAGTTGCTGATGAGTGAAAACACCTGCAAGGCATGGGCATGGCTGTAAGGGAGGTTCAGAGGCTGTGATTAGTCCTTTTGAGGAAATGAGCAGTGACACCAGTGCTCATAAGGGAGATCTTGCTTAGGGCACCCTAGGACAGCCTCCCTTTTCTAAATGTATAATAACATCAAGACGTGGCAGGAGAGCTAAAGGAGAGATTGCCCAAAGGAGCCAAAGGGGACAAGGGCTGAGAGGGAGCTCTAGGGGTGTTATGGGCACCATTGGGATAGGACCATGTTACACTTCCTTTAACCTTTCTACTTTAATATACAAATAAAATAATGTATTTCTTCGATCTTAATTGATGTATTTCCACTCTGGGTTTTTTAAAAGTAATATTGTGTTTATTTGTTAATGGGAGTTTCGCTGAAACAAAACTGCAGGAATTACTTCTTTATGCCACTAGGTAGCACTGCTACTTTACTTACCATGTTATGTCCAGTTATTTCATTTTCAGTCAAAACTGTAGCATATGGAATTAACTTCAGATTTGCCATTGATAGCTATTACAACTGTTCTAATATCCAGATATAATCAGATGTAGTCATAACATAAACCAAAATTCTAAGAACTCAGAGTAATTACACATATGTAACCAAATGTGATTATAATAGAACATGTAATTTTATTTTTATAAAAATTACAAATATAATTACTTAGGTCTATTAGGGGAAAGAAGAAACAATCTCATGAGAGAATCTCAAAGCAGTTTGGCTTGTTTAACTTAGAAAAATGAAGGCGAAGAGGAAACATGATCATTCTTTTAAAATACATAGGATGAATAAATAGCAAGGACAGGGAAGAACAATTTAAATTAAAGACAAGCTCTGGTACAAGATAAAATGGGTATAAATTGAACATGACTAGTTTGGGACTAAAAATTAGAAGAAGAGACCTAATCATCAGAGAAGTGGAGTTCTGGAATAGACTTCCAAACAATGTAATATAGGAGCAAGCAACTTAATTTGTTTCAAGATGAGAGCTTTATATGTCCAGGAAAGGTATTATATGACAAGATAGGAGTGATCCTGCAATTTGTAACATAACACTTAAAGTTTTTGATTTGTAGGTTTTCAAAAGAAAGAGCTGAAATGAGACTTGATTGCCATATGTCAGAGGCATAACAAAGCGACCAGGTACCCAGGGCAGCAGGATTCATGGAGGTAGCAGTGATTTCTGGCTGCCACTGTGCTGTTGGCACATTACTGAGCTGTGGAGAAGCCCCCCCTCCCCCAAGTTGGCAGCATCCCCCCCTAAAGTTGGCACATTACTGAGCTGTGGAGAAGCTCCCTCCCCAAAGTTGGCAGGATCCCCCCCCCCCCCCCCCCACCCACCACCAGCAGTGTATGCGGCCAGTAGGTCACTCCAACCTGGTTAAGCTATTGTCCTGTGTAGTTGTTTGCATATGAAAGAGGATTCTGGGGTTTGGACTTCTTGACCTTGCTGTGATACTGTGTAGCAAGATCCAGTGGCAAAAGTTAGAACCAGAACCAGAGGAACTGGTTATAAAGTGAAAGATAGTTTCCTAGCAGTTGTGGGGAGGTTGAGGACGGGAACAATTTTTCCCATGAATATAGTAGGCTTTCTCAGAGCTTGGGGTCAATGATGTAAATTTTTCTTCAAGGACTGCCATAGTTTAGACTATCAGGAATTTAGCAAGTAAGGCAGGTTTAGCTGAGTAATTGTGATGACCCTTTCTGAACCAAATTCTTTCCTCTTTTTTATCTCTTCTCCCCAGCACTGGTTACACAGTGTTTGTATTAGAATTAATTAATTCCATGCTTTAGAGCTCCAGCCAGTTGATTTTAGGGACCAGGAAGGATTTTTTGTTTTACTCACTGATTCATCATTTGGCTTCTGTTTTTGTTTGTTGTTTGTTTCACCTTCCTCTTAAGCATCAGAGATTGTTTGCATGCTCATGCTAAACAAATTACCAGATTTGGGGTCAGGAATTTTCCTTCAGGTCAGTTTGGCAAAGACTGCATGCTTGCGTGTGTTTGAATATGTTTGAAAGACTGAATATGTAGATATTCAGTTTCTACTGAGAGAGTCACTGCTCTCCCAGTAGAAATCATCATAAGTGTACAGACATTAAGGATTTTTCTCCAAGAGCAAGCTGACTGCTTCAGGAGAAAAATAACCCACGAACAACCAAGGTTAAATCACTTCAAGGAGAATGAATGTCAGTATGCATTCCTTTCTTAGAGAAGCCACAGCACAGTCCTCCAGCACCCCAGGATACTTTGCTCTTGTCCTTCCTCCAACCCTCCCCTAGGGACACTGTGTTACTCAGGCTGGACTCTACTGCTCTATCTGAGCCAGGAACAGAACATGTCCCTTCGCAATTCCTACACTGTGCTCCAGACACAGGCTGACACTATCCAGCCCAGGTCACCCAATCAGGGCTGCCTTGTGCACTGTTGTTATCTGTCTCCAGGCAGACTGAGGGAGCCTGCAGAGCATGCTGAGATGTGTGCACAGGAGCTCCATGGGTACACAGCATCAGCACTGCAGTCTCTTCTCCTCAGGGGCTCAGCATTTAAATGTCTGTTCATGGGTCTCCAGGTAAGTTTTTCTACTAGGAAAACAAACACTGGAGAAATCTTCCAGATCATTTGAACATGTGCGCGCAGCCTTTGCCTACTTATATAGTTTGGGGATCACTTCCTAAGATAATGTGAACATATTTAATCTAATTTCTTGCCATTGCAAGACCCTAAAGCATTGGAGATTCTCTTCCTCTCTCCTCCTTTCTCTCTCTAACATATTGTATTTTTGAGGTTTTTTGTATTAAAGCTTTGAGTTTGTTATATGTTGTTGGAAGTGGTTTTTGGCTGTGTGTTTGTGTGTGGTAGGGGGCAAAGTTGTTTTCTTGTGAACCCTCTGTGACTTAACATCGCTTAAATGGTAGCCTTTATTTTGGGGGACTGGACTGATGACCCACATGGCCCCTGCTGTTGCTATGTTTCTATAATTTACTATTTAAAAATTATTTGACTGATTATTTTTACGTAGGGGGGCTGGGTGTTACTTCAAAACTGTCATCTGGGGTTGGATTTCATGGAAGAACTACTGGAAACACTTCTAACTGCTGAGATACCTGATGAGAGCTTTCGAGTTTGGATAACCACTGAGCCACATCTAAAGTTCCCAATTACACTGCTACAGGTTTGTTCAAATGCTTAGTTCAGACACCTAATAGCTTTAAAAGTATATAGATAAAATTATGTAAATGAGCATGAAGTAACTGGGAAAATGGTATTTTTTCCTTTCAACTTCCATGCACTGTATGCACTGACAAAACTAAAAAGTGCTCCTAAGTCATATGTTAAATATCTTTAATTAACGTATACTATAGCAGTAGTCCACTATATGCTTCTTTGACTTAGTTTATCAACTGCATATCAATGATATACTCTCACTGATGCTTTAGGACCTGTATCTTTAGAAGTTGCAACATTACATATCAAGTCACTGTTTTATTTGGTGTAAATAAATCTAATTCCGTTACCTTTTTTACATAACAGATTTCTATAAAGTTCACAAATGAACCCCCGCAGGGTGTACGTGCAGGTTTGAAAAGAACATTTTCAGGGATTAATCAAGACCTGCTAGATGTCAGCAATTTGCCTATGTGGAAACCTCTGCTTTATACTGTGGCTTTCCTACACTCCACTGTCCAGGTATTTCATATAAATTTCGCATTCAAATTTAGATTATTTCACTGTGGCTTCTGTTAGAAAGTAGGCGTTTTTACATTTATTGCTCTAAGGAAGTCTCATATTTTATCTCCCGTGTGCTTCATGTTGTAAGATTGGGACTATATAGAAATAATCTATATTATAGGGTACCTTACTGATTAAATCTCTTTTAAGTTAGCTTCATATCTCATATTCTGAGGATCTATAACCCAGTATTATTTCCATCGTCATCAATGGGAGTTTTCTCCACTGACTTCAATATAAACAAGACAAGGCTTGTATTTTGTAATTTAAACATATGACAGTCATGTCATGAAAGTAATACGCACTTTCAACATTCTCCACTTTCTGCATTTAACTCCTTTTATGTAAGGAACTCAGAGCATTTCACAAACATTATTAAACTCCAAAGACTCTTTTGAGCTGCTGCTATTATAGATGTAGCAAGGAACCCCATTAGTGAACTGCCCTGACAGAGACAAGCTTAATGCACATGTTTACTGATTATACCTTGTCCAGTTCATACAGATGTGGAGGGATTGACTTGCATTGTATACTGCCTCATGGAGGCTTTGTATTCCTGGAGCTAAGGTATCCCAGATCTAATCAGCTATGAGGAAATTTTAGAAGTCCTATAGTTATATGTCCATCCAGTAAAGATATTTATAGAGGGTCAACCACTGTATTATATACACAATAGCCTGCATTTTTAGCTCACCACCTCTTGACATGCATTGTTGAGAAATTTTTTATGAGCAGTGTGCTGTAGTCAGTAATTAAGGGAAATGTCTGGAAGATCAGTGTATTTAACTTTAGGGTCTGAAGGCTTAATGTTTAATTGACTTATGCAAATGTATATTTGACTTGTTTCTATGCCCAATTGTTCATTGAGCTTAATAATTTATTTCACAATTTCAGTGGTATCTATATACTAGTCCTTCATTTAATCCAGGGCTGACCAGCTACTAGACAGCAGGGGGCCACATGCCACAGACCCCAGGGTCTTCTCTGCCGTATAAGCAGTGCAAACAGCCTGGGTCCCCCATTTGCCACACTTGTAGCACAAGTGGTGCTAGCAGTGCTAGCAACCTAGTCTTTTTGGTGGCGTGTGCAGCACAAGCAGCCTGACTTCCTTGGCCATGCATACAGCGTAAGCAGTGTAGCTTCCCTCCCAGCCACTCAGGCAGTGTGGGCAACCCAGCCCCTCTCTTCCCATGCAAGCCACCTGGCTTTCCCCCTGCTGTGCATGCAGTGCCCTCTCACTTTCTGAACCCCTGGAGGGGGGGCAGGAACCAGAAGATGGAAGAGGGAGGGGTAGCCTGGAAGCCACAACAGCTGGAGTCATGGGGGCAGGAGGCCAGGTGCTTCATGTTAAACAGGGGCCTCTGCACCTGGAAACTGAAAGCCAAATTCTTTTCTTGTTCACATATTACAAATCTGTAAAAGTTCTAGTTTAGGGACAGAAGTTACACATAAACCAGTTTAAGTGACTGGAAACCAGTTTAAACCTGTAACAGAACAGAAGTTCAGCACACATAAACCAGTTTCAAAATGGCCAAACCCAATGTAAGATAAATCTGGATGGATATATATAGTATCAGACTTTAGTGATTTAGGTTAAACCAGTTTATGGAACTTCTGTCCCAGAACCCCTCTGGACTCAAGTTATCTCACAGTCCCCCAGCATCCCAGGATGCTGTGCAGCTCTGGGCCATGCTGTCTGCTTCAGCAGAGTAGGGTCAGCCCAGGCACCAGCTGTCACAGAGCTGAGGCAGTAAAACTTATGTTCCCTAGCCTGCTTCCTGCCTGTGCCTGTCAGCCCTGTGGGACAGGGGGCAGAGGAACAGAACCCCCGAGCCTGGGTTTGCACAGAGCGGGGGGAGGAAAAGCCCCCACAGTGGTGGGCGTTTCATCCCCCCACAGCCAGCGAGCCAGGCTGGGATTACCCTAGACCTCCCCCAACACCAGCCGACCACCCCTTTGAGACTCAGGGGAAGAGGAGACGACAAACACCCCCAGCCCAACACCAGCTCCACTACCCAGGGTCTTCATGGGGAGCCCCCATGGAGGGACTTTTTACCCTGCCTGAAGCCCATGAGCTGGGCAGAGAAAGCCCTAGCCCCACCCCCTTGCCAGCTGTTAGCTTCTCTGAGAGGTGGGGGGGCAGGTGGGCAGGCAATGCACCCCCTAGCCTAGCACTGACCCCTGCCCCCCAGCAGGAGTCTGCTTCAGGAACCCCCACAAGGGGGCTTCCCCCCACCCACAGCCTAGGGAGGCCAGCAGCTGGCAAGGGGGATGAACCTGGGACTTTCCCAGCCCAACTCACTGGGCTGCAGGTGGGTAGAAAAGTCCTCCCACAAAGGCTTCCCCATGCAGATGCTTGCTGTGGGGCCGGTGCCTGGCTGGCGCATGCATTCCCTCCTTGCCCTGCCCCTCAAAGACCAGTGGCTGATGAGGAGCTGGGGCTTTCCCAGCTGGCTCTCTAGGCTGTGGGTGGGGGAAAAGCCACTTCATGGCCCTCCCCTCCATGCCATGCAGACTCCTGCTGGGGAACTAGTGCTGGTCCAGGCTGCATTTCTCCTTTGCCTCTTACCTCTCAGAAAGGCATGTGGCTGGTGAGGGGGTGCGCCTGGGGAGAGATTGGCTGCTGGATACATGCCCCCACCTGTTGCAGTCAGGCACAGGGAGGGAGAGAGCCAGCAGACAGGCATGGGCTGCTGATTGGCTGGGTTTGGCAGCCTTTGGCAGTGTCTGATATGAAGGGAGTCATGTGTTAGCACCTCCAAGCTTCTGGCCTTGGCCAGTGCAGGCTTCTGTCTGCTTTGGCGACCAGAAATCTGAACGTCAGTTCAGTTTGTTATCGGTCCAATCTACGCAATTTAGACAAACCTGTAAAGATTGAATTGATTCCACCTCAGGTTTTTTGAACCTCTGTACTTAAGCCCTTGAGTCTAGACAGTAAAGTCACTCTAGCTTTACTGAAAAAAAAAGTTGAAATAAAACTGAGGATTCATTTTGAAGTCGAGACAGAAATATTAATTAGATAATAACAGGTATGTGTTCTTTCCAAATCTCCTTTACAGTGTTAAAAGTTTCATAGTTTCATAGTTGGTAGGGTCAGAAGGGACCTGAGCAGATCATCAAGTCTGCCCCCCTGCCATGGGCAGGAAAGA